CTTAGGTACCAATTTCTCAGTCAATGCATCTGTGTGGCAACGCCTTTCCGATTACCTGAATGACAACAAGCTTAGTCAACCTGGAACCAGCATCACTCCAGGTTCTCGCCTCTTGAATGCACGACACATAGACACCAATGCCAAGGAAGACCTACGCTTGGTTAAGAACACGGGCAAGCGAGTTTGGCTGCACGTAGCAAATGTGGGGACACAGAAATGTAAAAGCTTTCGCAAGAATCGCGTCGTTTCGCGGAGTTTTTGTTGCAATGGTGCACCAGACCCAAACAGCTTTATCCCTTGCAGTTGCCGAAGTTTGACCATGCAGCCTCCATGGCGGCAGACGCCTGCGCACATGGGACAACCATCGGTGTCGGTGGTTGGGTCAGATTCCCTGGCCAACCCGTGCCCTGGTTTGCAGAGCAGTTTGATGTCAAAGACTTTCGTGGGTTGGACATCCCTGTCAGGGATTCAGTCAAAGCAGATATTGTCGCATTTGAGCTGTTAGCTCAAATCGGGCTCATACTTTGTTATGCCAGCGCGTGCAGAGGTGGCTGCATGTCTATTCGGCTCACGTCGCTCTCAGATAACTCCGGGGCCGAGGCGGCCATTAACGAAATGTTCGCAGTGGTGCAGCCGCTCGCTCTCTTCGTGCAACGCCTGACTCTGGTGTCTTGGGAGCATGCCATCCAGCTGGATACATCCCGCGTCGCTGGAACAAAAAACGCAGAAGCCGACCTTCTCAGCCGTTGGGACGGTGTCAGTGACCTATCTCAGGAGTGTGGGGTTTGGCGTATAGGATTAGGTGCACTTTGCTTTGTCTTTGGGATACATTGTGTGGATATTACAGAAGGCTGGTGGCTAGAATATCGTCTGCTAGAACCTTGCGGTTCTCACCGTCCTTAGTGTTTGGGCAAAGGCCTGCGTGGCTGCAACATAGTTGCATTCACTGATGTTCACTAAGCAGCATGATCTCCGGATCTTTGGAGAATGCGTTGGGGCTTCGAGTCCTGATTGTCAACAAAACGCATGAGCTAATGAATGCACTTTGCAACAAGGCGTGTTTGGTGCACATGAACGCGGCGTCGAACATAGCTGAGCGTCGCGTGGCGTGTTTGTGCTCAATGGTATGTTTGTGCTCTGTTGCAAATACGAAAAGGCATCACAAAGTTCAGCGTGAGCTGTTGCCGTGATGCTTGCAAACCATGGTTCAGGTTTCAGAAATCCGTTGTGCCCCAGCGTTCCGGTGCAAACCGAAAAAGAATGGCGCTACGCCGTGATGTGAATGATGATTGATTTCAATGTTCGATCGATGTTACAAATATTGATTGGGACTTTAATTTGATATGTCGCTTAATAATGTTGGCGCTAAAAATACATTGGAAACAAACCACTCTTCAATCGTAGTTGTTTGCGCAGTATTTCCAAAGTGCGTGAAGACTCCTTAGCAATTTTCAGGGTTGCAACACCGGTTATTTTGCCCACACCTCATTTTCCTGCCAGAGATTCATTGCCTTTGCATGCTTCCCATTACTAGGCATGTTGCACCGTGTGTGCTTTGAAAGTGGTCAGGGCACTTTCCATTTTGTGTGACAGCTGCAAGCCTCATCTCAAGTGGTCTGGTAGACCACATTTTGTATTTCCCACCCAACCGCCCTATGCACCCATCCCCGTGATTGGGGTTTGGGCTTTGGAGTGCCGGTTTCTCTTGTGAGAAGCTTGAACTTTTGATGGGGGGAATTCAGATGCATGGTTGTGCTTTGTTGCAAATACGCCTACGCACAATGTTCAACATGAGCTGCTGCTGTGATGCTTGCAAACCGTGTTTCAGGTTTCAGAAATCCGTTGTGCCCCAGCGTTCCGGTGCAAACCGAAAAAAAATGGCGCTACGCCGTGATGTGAATGATGATTGATTTCAATGTTCGATCGATGTTACAAATATTGGTTGGGACTTTAATTTGATATCTCGCTTAATAATGTTTGCGCCAGGTACATTTTGGGAAAAAAACGTGTATTTTGTTTATCAATTTTGCAAGATGCTTATCCTTGTGCCGTGCAGAACAGAGGATTGCCTCCAATGCGTTTGTGCCTTGAAACAACGTTTTTGTTCTAGAGAAAATGATGCCAGTGTGGTTGCAGCACGTTTACATCACGGACCTGTCAGTGCATGTGCTGAGATCCTACGTTGCCGCATGTTGTTATCAATGCCGGTGGTGATAGTTTTGAAAGTTTTTATAATAACCGAAGGAATTCAGTGTGATCCTAAGTTGTGCAAGATGTCCATTGTGCACCGGATTTCGATTGATGAAACGATTAGCAACATTTTTGGCGAATGTCATGTTGCTTACGCAGCGTTGATTACGCATGTCCGCTACAGCTCTGCACCCGCCAAGAAAATGCATACACAACATGTACGAAAGACATGTATCGGCTTGCCGCCTCCAAACAATTGCAGCGCAGCGAAAGTGACAACGGGAACATTGACGAATTTTGAGCAAGCAGTGATATTTGTTTGTTTATCCATTATTGACGTTGAAATTTGCGGCTCAAGCTTGTAGGGGTTAGGCCCCGTGTTGGACCCTGTTTTTTGCAAGCCATGACCTTAGTGTTTTTCCACCGAGGAGGGCATCCCAACCAAGTAAGGGGTGAGTGTGACATGGCCGTGTTGTAGTTACTGCACAGCCACATGCTGTTACTTTGGTTGTGGCATCTTCTGAATTGTACAAAAGCCCTGTACTGCAAGTTTCTGACCGGTAGATGGGGGCAATGTGTCTCTGCAGAAAGGTATAGCCACCACACTACGAAAGATTTGTGTGTTTGTGTTTCTGCCAGGGCATTGAGGTGCGAATTTTCACTTTTGCACCCACGTCCGTCAAACATGCGAGCATGCGTTTGAATAAGATGACAACGGAAAAACAAATTAGGATCGGCTGAGGATTGCTGGGAGCACCTTGTTGGTTTCCATCCTTCCATCATCCTTGTGAACACCATGTATTTCGTGCCCTTCTGAGTCCAAATTGGCAGCACATTCCCCAAGCCCCGAAAGCCACATGGTACACCCTCGCAGGGGCATGAACTCAAACCCATAAACCCTGAAATTGTTCTATTGAGCTTTACGCTCGCATCTAAGACTGGAAACCCGTAACCCGAAAAAATCACACGCCCGATTCTTAAGCCCTAAGTCTTAAGTCCTCAACCCATTATTTGAGGCGCTCCGCTCATGGCCGCGGGGCGCCTCCACGAGGCATTCTTACATGCAAGATTCATATGCGGTATGTTACGTTGTTAAATTTGGGGTGTTTGCAAGACCATCGGAATACATGGGCGATTACAAGTAAATAATTGGTGCAGCCAATTGGGTCACAAAACAAATCAGAAACTTTCATATTTGAAGGCCCAAGAATGGAGTGGCAGTAATTTCACGTAAAGGTTATGTTCCACATGATCCTCCAATTATTGAAAATTTCTGAAAACCAAGGGACCCCAATGTCAGGTTGGCCTATTGGGATTTGGAGCTTCGGGTGTAGGGCTTAGCCTATGCTGAAGTGCTGTACGTTGGGCAATTTCCATTGCCCTCTTATTTTGGCGCATTTGTACCCGGTATACTCGTAAACAACAAACCTAGGGAACATGGATTGTCTCAAGGGTCAGTGCTCCTTGGATCCTGATGAAAGGAGATTTTTCATGTTTTAGAATAAGTCGGGACCCTGGTGATCTTTACGTATCCCTAAAATCTCTAAGGCTCCGGCACTTTACAAACTCCCACATAGGGGTTTGGTAGGTGTTTGTTCTGTGACTGCATTCAGGACAGGAATTAGCAACACCTGGTGTATGGACAATTTCGGGATTGCAGTAAGCTCACAGTTCCAGTATGTCACAGTTTGACATGCGCGTGAACCTTCAAATTGTTGGCATCTTGATTGCGCTGACGAGATTCAGCCAACCTCTGAAAATTGCATGCGTTGGGGGTTCTTGCATTGAGTATGAGATATATGTCACATTGCTCGGATGTAGCCGCCTGCAGGTGCAGGATTCGTCAGTTCCAGAGTAAAGCGCAGCTGTTTCATTGTTGCATGGCGAAATGCACATTCGATCTGTTTCATATGTATGTCGTGCCGTGCAAGCAGCTTTTTCGACCCATGGTGCTTCTGCTACCGTCCTGGAAGCTTTCCGTCTTGTGGATGTGCGTGCATGCTGCTTACGTACTACATTTTGGCCTTTAGGTACTCTTGACGTGCTGACTGCTTTTAGAGTGCTTCCACTTGTTGAGGTCAGAGCTTGAGTAAATTTGAGCATAGCAGGTAAAATCTTTTTTCTGAGGGAGTAAAAGCCTTCATTTTTCGGACGTGATTTGGAATCCTGTTGAGGTGTGGTGCCCAAAGCGAGAGGTGGCCTCAACATTTTTGCCGGGAACGTGATGTAAACTCCTCATAGGTGCACTAGGAGTGTCATGGGGACTTAGTAAGTAGGTTAATAACGGGGATAATTGAGGTTATTATATGGGCTATAGGGTTTATTAACCCACTTACTAAGTCCCCCTGACCCTCCAAGTAGGAGTGTCCAGAGCCCAGAACCCCCCGCAAAGACACAATAGAGTTGACGTGGAGTCGGAACAGCAAATCTTCTGTTTCCTTGCTCGGGGTCGCGCTGCCACGAAATCAAGGCTATGACCAAGACCATTCTGTGTGTTCGTATTCGCATGTGGGGGTTTCCCAAAATTACCAGGAGTCGACAGTCTCAGATTTGAATTGCAATCTATTTGTCTTGAGAAACCATGAGAGCCATGATCTAAACTCCTTGAAGAGGGTTATATAAGGGATTATATAGGGGACTACTAAAGGGGTCATTGAGCGGGAAACTTGGAGTTCAGACTATGGCTCATGGAAGTTTTGAGCTCCTTGAAAAGGAATGTCACTACTGGTCAGTGCTTTTGACAATACTTGTGATGTTCGGTGGAATACGAAGCATGCCTTCCATGTTCGCAGAGTAGATTCCCAGGGTCGATGGAAAGGTCTGCTGATCCAATGAATCGGAATGCGTATCCTGGCCGCAAGAACAAGCTTCGGAGTTAGCATCTCTTTCAGAGACATGATCTATTCGTGGTGAATTGATGTGCGTGGATGAGCTGTTGCAACTGATTCCGGCGGAGCGAAAGCATGTTATTCACTTCGAAGCCGAAGTCATTTCACGCCAGATTTGGTGACACCAAGGAATTACAACATTCGTGAAAGAATGGCAAACAGATTCGAGGCCGTGCCGCCAGGTTTGCAGTTGTCAGGATGAGCTTTGAGTATGCTTCATGCAGAGACACTCAGGGGCTATACCTTATTCTAACATAGTAGTTTCCATTTTCTTTTCCATCATCCCAATATAACCCAATGTAACCCAATATAACACCTATAGAACCTTATTTCTTTTCCACTATCGCAATAGAACCCCATATAAACCCTATATAACCCCTATATCATTTCAGCATGGTCCAAGCCTTTTCATGTCGAGTTTCCTGCTGGGGAGTGCGAAGGTCATGCAGTCTACATGAGCCGTAGTCCTTAAAGGTTATATAGGGGATTATATACGGGAGCATAATAGGGCTTATTAAGGGGTATATAATAGAGCTTATGGAAGGTGATACTAGGAGTTTAGACCATAGCTCACATGTTGTGACGGCTCAAGCTGACGCGTTTGTGGAGCAGGGGCTGCAGTGCTGCAGGCCACACCTGCTTGGAGCCCAGAGCCATGTTCTCCACCTCCGTGCTGGAGTGCCACAAGTCCTTGGACCAGGCCATGAAGCCCGGAGTGTCCGGAGTGTCCGGAGTGCTCAGTGAGAACCAGAACCCGCAGAACCCGAGTCGACGTCCCAGCTGGCCTCCTGTGCGATCAAAAGGCCCTGGCCTCTTCCACTCAGACAAGGAAAATCGGCCGATGGACGAGGTCAAGGCTACAAAGTTCGCGTGGTGGCAGCAACGGGATGGGGAGTCACTGAAGCCGACCCAGCTGCATGAGGATCTCCAGCAGTTGCGCAGTGCCCGCCGGTCTGAGGGTGGGGCAGGGGACGAGCTTCGCCGGCGTTGCCAGGACCTGGTTCGAGTTGTGCGCTGCTCGCTTTTCTAAGAGTGAGGTTCCTGTAAGCCAACGTGTTTTGTATTCAAAGCCCCCTTTCTTGCAGCTCTCTAGCCCTAGCATATGTGTGTATGTATATGTATAGATGGAGTATGTAGGTACAGAATTGGGAGCATTCATGACTAGGGTGGTGAAGGTTTGCTTTATAGTATACCTACCTAATCCCTGCATCATCCCATGTTCCATTTCATTTTCCATTTGACATTCCATTATTGGATATATAGCCCTACACCCTAATCCCTAAACCCTAATCTCCAAACCCTTGACCTAAACCCTTGTCCCTCCACAATCTCTATATAGGCTGGTGGGGGGTTACATGGGAGCTGGAGGACCTCGAACGCGAGCGCGATGCGCGCACCGCGGCATCCCTGCAGCTGGAGTCGGAATTGAAAGCTGAGAAGGCACAGTTTAGGGTTAGTTTAGGGTTTAGGGTCTAGGGTTTAGGGTTCTAGTCCCCATATTATAACAAGATCCCCATGTGCCCCATATTCTATCTACTTAAGGGGGACTGTAGGGTTTAAGGGTTTAGGGTTTATGGTGTTTAGGGTCGAGGGCTTTGGGTTTAGAGATGGGGTTCAGGGTTCAGGGCTCATAAGAAGGCTCGGGGTTTTGCAGGGTTGGGTGCAGGTTTAGAGCTTTCATGTTGTGCAGGGCTCACAAGCTCATAGATTAGAGTCTAAGGTTCAGTGGTTTTTTCGTGCTAAAGGCTGTTCCCAACCCCTCTGTTTGAGTGGTTTGCACATGCTCCTTGGCTGACGCTGCGGCCAGTACGGAGGCCGGCGGAAGATTCTCCCGGCTAAAGCTTGGCGTGGCGAAGTCGCAGATTTTTTTGACTTGATGCCGGATCACATTGGGTTCGATTTTGGAGTCTCCGTCTGCTCGGGACTCTATGCTTCCATGCCTTGGAGGTATATGGAGCTTTGCTTTCTGCGGCAAACCCAATTGTGTCTGTTGCGAAGCTACTTTCTCAGATGTCGCCCCCTCCCAGTAGCCTTCACCTTGAACTCTCTATAAACCTTCAGAAGCATCCAGACTTGCAAATGTGCTACAGTTAACATCTTATTGTCCCTGGGAGTTTTAATAAATAGCATTAATGCTCCGTAATATGCGTACTTTCTCCTAAAGGCTAAACCCCTTTCTCCGATTTCATTTTCCAGTGTGTTTTCCACGATTTTCCATTGTTGGGCAATATCCCAAAACCAGCTATAATCCCTATAGAAGCGTCATATCATCCCTCGAAAGCCACCATGTAATCTCTGAAGCTCCCCCTAAACCCTAAACATTCCTAGATGTTCCGTTTATGGCCCTACGCAACCCTATATAACTTGATCTATACCCCTATAAACCCCCGAAGCTCCTAAATTATCGGGCAGGCTCGAAGCGCACGCCTGGCGCAGATCCTTCGAGGCTGTGATGCAGGCGAGTCCTGCCTAGGCCGCGACCTGAGGAGCCAGTTCCCCACTTCATCACAGCATGCAAGGCTGTTCCAAAGCCCTTTTATGGGGCATGTAGGGGTTTCCGAAACTTAGGGGTATTTTTTTGGGGTCTTGATGATACGGACCATCGTATGCTTGGGGTCTATAGTGGGGTCCCCCTGTTTGGGAAACTGCCATATATATATATACACAAAGGGTTTAGGGTTGTTCTAAAGGTCCCTGTAAAGAAAAGTCGATGGCGGATACACTGCCCTAAAGTGGGGTCCTAATCAAAAGGGAAGCTGGCTGATGACCACTTGAGCTGTAGTCTAAACTCCTTAAAGTAAGATAGATGGATACTATGAGTTTAGACTATGGCTCATTTGGGGGACGGGTGTTTTGAACAACCAAATTGATTTGGGATACCATCATCATCCAATATGTTCTAAGGCTTCTAAGTTTGCATCCGCTTTAAACCCTAAACCCTAAACCCGGACCAGAGCCATTGCTCCCGTCAAATCCATGCTGAGGAACCAGTCCTTCAACATCATAACAATTTTTGGGTACTGCCCCCACCCTGTAACAGTCATATACTCAATACAAATTTGTTGACAGTATTAACCAAGTGTTACAGAGTGAGGGCAATACCCAACATAAAATCCCAAATCAATGTGCATGTGTGTGTGTGTGTATTTATACACATCGACATGCTGACGTGCATATAAGTGGTGTGTTCTCGCCCCCAGAGAGAGACAGAGAGAGAGAGAGAGAGAGATATATATATATGTATACTGGTTTTAAGACTCAGGTATCCTGGCTCTTGTGGCCTTGTAGAAAGGGTAATGTCAATTGTGCTTGAGCAGGGAGACCACAAAGGGAAGAATAGTCCAGAGGATTTGTGTGATTCGCCATGATGTCAGCAGCACCGTGTGACGGGAAGGTGGCCCGGGCACTCTGATGATCACACTGAGCGGCATGCTATGGTAGTTACTTCCTGTAGCAAGGGCTATAGTGTACATGGGGAATGTGATAACGGAGTGCAGTTCCAGTTTCACAACCAGGTTAAGAAGGGAACACAATGCAAAGGGAGTCACCTGTCCAATGGAGCCAATTTATGCGGTATCATTATTGGGGTAATATAGAGATGATGGAAAACAAAATGGAAAGTACTATGATGGAGAATCAAATGGAAAAGAAAATAGAAAATGAAATGGAAACTAGTCATGGGGGAGAGGTTACGTCCTTTGGGTTTCAGTTCCGGCCTCCCTGGGCGACCAGACCAACGAACCGTGCCTGCGGCCATGTGGCGTCGCCCCCTTGAGTGCTTCGGGGTGCTCGCATGGGGCCGAAAGAAGAAGAAAAGAGAAAGAAGATATATATATATATATACATATATACACATACCCGTATCTGTATGTTTTGAAAGATCTGTTCATATCAGGAGGCGACAGGTGTGATGCAGAACTCGAGACTCCTCCCTCCAAGACATCCTTCGAACTTTCAGGCAGGCTCTTGCATCGAGCACCAGTTATCTGGTCCTGTGATGTGATAGAACCGATGGACCATGCTACAACCCAGTAATAGTCGTTTAACAGCAATATACAGAGACCCTAACATAACTACTGGTGTCCCGTGTGGTCACGATTAGAGGTTGGGGGCTCAACCTAACTAAACCCTACACGCGCATCCGAAAAAGCCTGCTGCTTGCTGAGGCCTCCTTGAGATCAGAGAGCAGGTGGGAGTTCCACAAAATGACCCTTAAACCCTAGCCACAAAATTCCAAAAATCATCCCCAAAGTGCCTGGGATCCCCAACATCATCCTCCTGGGAGATCCCACCTAATCCCCCCTATCATCCTTAAGCGACCCCCCAACATTATCCTTGAGTGAGATCCCCTACATCATCTGTAAGGCATCCCATATATCATCCTCAAGCGGGGGGAATCCCTGGAATCTCCAAGTAATCCCCATATGCGGGTTTCCACAAATTTTGGGTCCTTATTTGAGGGGTCTTATAGGTAGGTTGGGGGTATATAACACAAGCACATCCCCATAATCTCCATTGTAGTCCCCACATATTCCAGGGGTCTCTGGGGCACCTGCCCTCAGGTTCTGCAACTCAGCCGACAGTCGGACCTGCATGAGGACACTTGTTTGCAATTTGCGTTTGGGGCTTGGGATTATGCCATAGGGGCGTAGAAATACCTGCTATGCGGGGCGTGTAGGGATAGAGAGATAGCATGGTGACTTCGCAGCGAGGGTGCTGTCATGTGAGACTCCTCAAATCAGCATGTATTGAAGGTAGAGCGCATGGGAGACCTCATGAGACCCTGGTTGTTCAACATGCCCACGGGGCTGCAGAAGAAGCCAACAGTCAAGAACACAAAAGGTCCGTTTGTGAGCATTTGAAGGCAAAGCTCGCCGCCATTACCAGCCGAAGGCCAGTCTTTTTCCTTGCCCATTTGCAATACTTCGCAGCCACAAACCCAATCTCTATGCTTGCTGCCTTGACTCGCCTTGGATTTGGAAGTGCATTCTCAGCTGGCTATGAATCCTAGGGGTAAAGGAGAATTACAAGGGAAGCATCTCGGTCTCTATTAAGGACTACCTCAAGGGCAGGTGCCTTGTGAAACTTCACTATTAGCAAGGCTGGCCGCTAGAGTCGTCAGCTCGGTGATCTCGCGGGTGCTGATGCGACAGACTCCGGAAGCAGGAG